GGCCTAAAATAGCAATTTAAAAACTTATTCACCTATTTTTTTTTTATCATATTCTTTCTTCGCTACAAAATTCTTGGACTTCTTCCAGCTTTCTGACCTCTTATGAAGTCCTTGTCATTCTGTTCTACTTGATTCAAATATTTGCCTTATGCCTTCCTGACACTTATTTGTCAGGAAGGCATAATAAGGCAAATATTTGTGGCCTATACAGGTTAACGTGGACTTGTCTCCAAAATCCATGAAAGTGCATGTACAGTTTTGGTCCAGCAGCAATCCAAAAAAAAAAAAAACGTATGTGGAATAAGCAGAACAAGATTGTTCTACTTGTTCATTTTCCAAAGTTGGAAACCTTGGATTCTTTGGAATATTTTCAAAGGATCCTTAGTATGGAAGCATTATTCATATGCCTTGCATAGGTAGGATTCCAGAAGACAGCTTTGAGAAGAGAAAAAGGGCTGTGCACAATCAAGGAAATAGAGTTGATGGACTGTCAAATGCAATGTGTGACTTCGGTGTGAATAGTGAGATGATATACTACATTTTCAAATGCCTTGAAGAGTTGAAAAACATAATCTGAGAATTTCTGGAACAGAGCCATTTAGTCTGCTGAGCAAAAGCAGAAAGCTATCTTATGTCGTCATTAGTATTTCAAAATTCCTGTTGTTTAATCTGATATATATTCCATTAGGTAGGATGAACACTTGGACTTTTTTCCTGACAGAGCTCAAAGCAGGCTGCCTTCCTTAAAAAACAACCAAGTGGGCTTGTCACCTTGCTATTGGAGGAAGTGTGTTCCAATAGGGGACAGTACAGTGAGATGTGTACAATACCTCAAGACTTCCCTATTTAGTTCTGGAGATGATTTTACACCTACAGGTGGCTAGGCGCCAAACAGCTGCTGTTCCTGTCTTTATAGCATTACGCCAGTCTTTAAACCTTTGGATGGTTTCTGAGGATCTGGTTGAAAATTTTTCACACAAGGAATAGAGCACAGAAGTGGAGGCATTTCCTGTAAACACACTCTATTGAATTACCATGTTCCTTAGACAGCACTGAAGTCATCTTAGGCCAAAGAGGGACCACCAAATATGTATTAGAAAAGGAGGATGGATGCAGTCATATTTCTGTCCTAAATTATGAAGGGGCAATAGAAGCATACCTGTCCCTTCAAATTGAAGTAAAAATGGTTTTACTTCTAAACTGTCTGCTATCACCACTTACACCTGATTTTACCATCATAATAAAAAAAATAATCATGTTAGAAATACTGAACTGAGAAAAAAATACATTCTCCTCAACTGGCCTTACAAAGCTGTTTTAGTATATTTTTATATACTAAAATAAAATATATTTAAAATAAAATATATTTACTTGAAGTCAAAAGAGTCATCAAATTATATGTACCATTAACAACTCCCAAAACCAGAAAAAACAAATTACCCATAACAATAAGGAAGCTTCAATCCAAAAAAAAATCACTTTGGCAGAAAAACAAATCTGGTCATGTTGCCAACTTCAAAAGCCGATACAAAAATTTATGCCACCAGATAAAAAATGAATGCACCAATTATCACATTAAACAAGAAGAAAACCTTCGCACCCATTCCACCCACGTTTTCTACAATTTTGTAAACAACAAACTAAAAGACTCAAGGTCCATCCCACTCCTGAAAGGACCAAATGGTAAAGACTGCAACGACGATACGATTAAAGCCAACCTCTTTAACACATTCTTTGGCTCAGTATTTATAAACAGCAATGGATCATGCCCAGTATTTCCTAACCGAACCACAGACAACTACAATGATCTAATACATAACGGTTTTACTGAAGACAATGTTGAAAAAGCACTGCGCAATCTAAAACCAAATCTATCTATTGGACCGGACAGAATACGTGCCTATTTCTTAAAAAAGCTATCCACTGCCATAGCCAAACCTCTAAGCATAATCTTTAAAAAATCTTTCAGGACCAGCTCCTTGCCAAAACTATGGTCACAAGCCACGGTCATCCCCATCTTCAAAAAGGAAGACCCCAGCCTAGTTGAAAATTACAGACCAATTTCTTTATGCTGTGTCACCTGTAAAGTCATGGAATCAATTATTAACCAATCCATCATCCTCCACTTATAAACGAACAACCTACTCTCTAATAAAAAAATTTGGTTTCAGGAAAAAACTATCATGTAATCTGCAACTCTTACACTGCAAAAACATATGGACGACACAACTCGATCAGGGCAAAGCAATAGACGCAATCTACATAGACTTCTGTAAAGCCTTTGATTCAGTGGTACAAGACAAACTACTCCTAAAACTAAAATCTTACGGTATCTCTGGACACTTGCATAACTGGATAGAAGTATTCCTGTCAAACAGACAACAAATGGTCAAAATTGGGAGCATCCTATCAAATTCTGTACCTGTCAACAGTGGTGTTCCCCACAGCAGTGTTCTAGGACCAACTCTTTTCATACTCTACATAAATGACCTCTGTGATCATATCAAGAGCAACTGCATCCTCTTTGCTGACGATGTAAAGCTATTCAACACCACAGACAATACTGCTACCCTTCAAAAAGACCTCGATTATGTATCAGAATGGTCAAACAAATGGCAACTTCAAATCTCAACAAATAAATGCTCTGTCCTACATATTGGCAAAAAAAAATAATCAGAAAATAAAATACAGGCTGAATAGTCAAGACCTTGTTGATGATCCAAACTCTGTCAAGGATCTTGGAGTACTCACCTCTAATGACCTGTGTGCTCGAGCCCACTGTAACTACATAGCCAAAAAGGTGTTAAGAGTTGTTAACCTAATCTTACATAGCTTTTTCTCTGGTAATATTACATTAATAACTAGAGCATACAAAACATTTGCTAGATCAATACTCGAATACAGCTCATCAGTCTGGAACCCACATTAGATATCTGATATTAACACAGTTGAGAAAGTCCAGAAATATTTCACAAGAAGAGTTCTCCATTCCTCTACTCATTGCAGAATACCTTATGCCACCAGACTCAAAATTCTAGACCTAGAAAACCTAGAACTACACCGCCTTTGGTCCGATCTAAGTATAGTATATAAAATCATACATTGCAATGTCCTACCTTTCAATGAATACTTCAGCTTCAACCATAACAACACAAGAGCAAACAATAGATACAAACTCAAGGTTAATCGCATCAAACTTGATTGCAGGAAATACGACTTCAGCAACAGAGTGGTCAATGTCTGGAATACTCTACCTGACTCTGTGGTTTCTTCCCCAAACCCCAAAAACTTTAACCTTAGACTGTCTACTATTGACCCCTTTCCTAAGAGGTCTGTAGAGGGTGTGCATAAGCATACCAACGTGCCTACCATCCCTGTCCTATTGTTTGTTTTTTTTTGTTTTTTTTTATTTTTCTTATATGTATCCATGTATTCATAACTATGTTTTTACTTATACCTATTATCTTGTAAGCAATTGACAAAAATAAATAAATAAATAAATAAAGTATATTTTAAAGTATTTTTTTTAAAAAAAAATCTGTCTCTGGAAAGATGCTTCCTCTGAATTATTTTAAATTGAAATTAGAATGAGTCAGCTTAGTTGACTCTACTCCAAAGGCTTAATTGGCTATGATTATAGGCAAGTAAGGGAAAGAAGAAGCTTCCTCAGAATTACTGTATGTTAAAACATTAATGTAGTAGATTGCTATAGTCAAGAAATAGGCTTTCACACAAAATAAAAATAAGTTTTGATAGACTTAGGTCAGGGATTTTCATATAATGGATTATTCCCCCACTCCACATGTACATACATGTGATTTCATGAACAAGATTAAGGAGGGTTACAGTTTATGGGTGCCCAGAAGGTTAACAGGCAGGTAGGTATGGAGCATAGCATCTACAGTTGGTAAGGGAGGATTCTGCAAGAATAGAGGATAATATGTGCCAAGTACAATCAGGCAAAGCATGCCACTTTATGGGGGTAGCCTGATCAGCTACCGTGCAACAGAGGCTGGTTGCCTTTCTGAGAAGCAGGGCTATAGCAGTAGCTCCCACCAGTCACCTTCCTTCCAATATTCAGAAATTCACTTTCCATCATCAACAGTCAGCTGACTGGAGATAATAAGAGTTGGATGGTGTCACACTACCTATTCTGCCTATTTTGAAACTGGCTTTAGATTGGTTGCGAGATATTGAGGACTTGAAACTTGTGGATACATCCTTATTCTTGTTTACTTTCTATAAGCTATTTGAACTGCTAAAATATGGGGTAAATCCTCTGATACAAACAATCTGTATGACTGTGATGTGCATCAATGTATCATAGAATGATATGGCGTCTCATCCTGAGTTGAAATTTGGTTCTGAACATAAGAGCTACAGTATTCTATTAAAAAAAAATATTTCTGTCTTCAGAATTCACAAAACAAAACAACAACAGCAAACAAACAGCAAACAATATTTTCAACAAATTAACAAAGTAATTTTTGAATTTTAATGATACCATGATATCAGAGTAAAGCACTTGGCCAGGTGAGATTTGAATAATGCTTGGGGGTGTAAAACCATTGTCTCTCTTGACAGAACAGAGGCAAATTGTTTCCTCTTTGTTTTTCCAGTTTATGCTAAAGCCTGTGGGAATATGTACATCTTTACTGAAGGTTTATCTAGATTATTTGTCAGATAGGAGATTTTTACATTTTGTTAAACTTATAATTGCAAGTTTAGGTGGAAATTTTCTCGTAAATAAATTTTATTGAAAAGAAGGGAAAATAACTGGTGAATTGAAATATCCCATCACCTAATGCCATTGTGATGCAATTCCATAAGTTGCCTAATTTTTGAGGATATTTTTTTATTCTTATCATTTCTCAGTCAAACTATGGTAGCTCATATTAGACTGCAAACTTTGTGACTGCTAGCAAGGCAGCGTCTATAAAATATCATGTGAATGTATCACTCCAGAATGTTCTTCCTTTTTTGTTTTTTTTTTATGTCAGAATGAAGAATAAATTGTGGTATTTTGAATTTGGTACAACAGAAACATTTTCAGCCACTTGCAAGAAACTTCACGATTATGTAGAGATTGAGGTGAGTCTCCCCAAACCCTCAAGGTCTTAATTTTCTGTAGAAGGTGTGTTATGATTATGTCAATAATTTCTTAGAAATGTGTTCTTGTATTTCATTAAAACATTAAGCATACTGTAGACTATTGGACATTCTAGAAAAGTCAAGGTCAAGCTTGTGGAGTAAGAATTTCCATGGTTTATTGGAAAATTATTCCTGGCAAATTTATGGTTTATTTTTCCCTCCTTCTTTAACTTCAAACTACATTCCATCGCTGAAGTCCTTAAAACTTTAGTCAAAAAATTAAAGTATAACAGCTCTGTGCTGCTTACAGGTTAGAATCTAAAAAATAAATTAAAATGATTTGATTTAATAGATACATATTCAAAAGTTCAAGTAGTGGTGTTCAATGAATATATTTTATTTGTGAGTAGACTTGCCACAGTTTACAGCAATAATTGACTCAAAAGACTAGCATTGATCTAGTCTTTATGTAACTAACATAGCACTATCCCTGGAGCTGGACGTGTTTTGCTCAGTTTACCCTGATGCTATTAAACCCAGCCACATGCTGTATCTATGGGACCTTTCTATTCTTTCAAGAAATATTTTAGCTTTTGAAAATAATACCAACTCCAATACAAGAATCTGCCCTCCTTCCCCCCATTAAAAAAACCCTTCAGTATCTCCTCATTTGAAACAGTGATTTTAACATTTGGATCACAAATAATAGAAAATTCACAAATATACATTTATGAACATTTCACTTACTGACTTTTAGTTGACAGTTTAGTAGAACAGTGTAGTGGGGAGAGGAGGAGCAGGAGGAAGAGGAGGAAGAAGAGCAGCAGGAGGAGGCAGGCAAAGAAAAATCCACCCTATCTGCCATTCTACTGAAGATTGCGACTTGACGAGAAAGGGCCTATATGTTCTCCTAATCGCCTCTGGACTGCTGGATACGTGAGAGAGAAAAGAATAGGAAGATGAGGGGGCACTGGCCATTTTTCCCAATCAGTGATTAGCAGAATCCATGGTGCTGGATGGAGACAGGAGAAAGCTCCACAAAAGACTTGCCTGATGGGACAATGCCAGAAAACACTTTTTAAAAAAGTTTATCACTTCCATAGCCTTCACAAGCACAATACTCATCTCTTTATTTTTTAGTGCTTGGCTCATGACCTTGATTCTGATCCAGAATGATACGATTGAACAAGATTCTAGATTCCACGCATCTGAATGCTTTCCAATTAACAATATATCTCCTGTGGTTCCCGCATTGTTAGCATGTCAATAGAAGATTTTTCCCCACAAACAGCTGGCAACTGCAGCTGAGCTTTTAGTAACATCTCTATCCACTGAAACATTTTAAGATGTTTTGCAGGGAAAGAGTAGGTACATTTATAGTTGAGAAAGCTTCTGTTTAGAAACAGATGTTCAAAACACCGTTCAGTGGAAGGAGGAAAAACATTATAGATGTGGAGCAGCATTTTTAAAATGTGCAGTGTATTCCTGTTTTATGGATTCCCTTTAAGTATATTTGTTGGCATGGACATCTGGGTGTCTCATTTTTGAAGCCAGTTTGGGGGAAACAGAATTATGCCTTTATAGATACACTTCATAGCTTGACTAAAATTAAGTTTGTTGTGAATGTTTGTAAATTCTGTGATTGCTTACTACCACCTTCTAGCTAAATGGAAACAGCCTCTAATTAGGAAATGTGTGGTTCACCCACAGTTACTAAGAAGTCAATCATTTCATAGTTTGTACTTGAGATTTTATGTGGTGTGTATTTTCCATAACCATTTCCACTCCTCAACCTCATCCAAACCATCCTCTTTTTTAAGGACTGAGAGCTATACTTTCAGTACCCGTAGTCTCAAAACATACATGCAATGTTTAATTACTCACTAAAACTAGAAAATGGAATTGTCAGTCAAAGCCCATGCCTTGCCATGCTTCTTCAGTCTGCTGTGATCACCTCCCTTCAGTTCCTTATGACAAGTGAGGGCAGGCATCCTCACTCAAGGGTTGACATAGAGACAGTTCCCATCAGCTGTCATTCTCCAAGAAATCATTTCAGAAGATCCTGGGCTCAGCTGGCTTCTCTAATTGCTTCCTAATTGTGTAAATGATCCTGTTCCTACTATCTTTGCTGTGACTATAGTTTTGCATGCCAGCGTGACCTCAAATCTGAGTTTGGATAGCTTTAAGGAACACATTGCATTTCAAGACCACACCAAAAAGATGCCACGTGGACATACTACTCAGAGTTCACTGCTGGTTCCTTCATGCATCTCTTTCTATTTCCCATTCCTATTTTCACAGCATCTTTCCAAAATGCCAGTGAAAGAGATATAAGCCTATCCACTCCAACCTGCTCTTTTTCCTTTCATTCGTGTAACATGATCAAAGCTTGATGGATCTGTATAATAATTTCAAATTATTTGTAAATTATCATTATGTTCAAATGGATTCTTCCTTTAGCCTCTATAGCTGGCACTTGCTTAAGACATCTACGCTTATTTTCTAAGGTTATACACAGTGATAGCCTTCTGGTTTTATTGCAGCCAGCACCTTAAGGGGCTAATAATAGCCAGGAAAGGAGAGAAAAGCTTTTTAGAGGAAATTGGAAGTCATCCAAACCCAGATCAGGAATAAGTTTCAATTGATTGCTGTCAAAAAGGGTAAATGACACAACATATATGTCTCCTCAGCTGTCTCAGATGTTTTAGCTGGCTACATCCCTTGCTCATTCATCACTCCCTAGTTTTTTTTCCTTCCAGCACTAGTCTAGCCTATCCCTTTGAGTACAGGATGTTTAAATAAAAAAGAACCAGCAAAGAGAGACTTTCTTGGTATCTCTGAAGAACTTTTTCCATTGTCCAGCTATTCTTAAAATATGAGAAGGTTTGTGTTTAGTTTGGTGTGGTATTTCAGCGAACACTACTATTACCTCCCACGTCCAGTTCACCTAGTACATCTATAAAATAGATGGGAGACTTAAAATGCTATTTGGCATTTTCCCGTAGCCATCAATTGCTGAGATTGTATTTAGTCTGTGAATCAGTGCAACTCCTAAAACCTTCCCATGTGGATTCATGCCTGAGAGGCTGAAGTCAGACATGGAATATTCAAATAGCACATTTTGCCAGAAACATTTCAAACAAACTAAGTAGGCGAATGATTAGTCCTTGGGTTCAAAACAGCTTAGTACCACACATGACTTCAGTTTGTGATTTAGTCAAGAAGCATATTAAATAATGAAATAAAAGTGAATGTTATTTCTTTCTACCTTCTATATATCTAGGATGAGCAGGTAGGACAAAGCTGCTGTTGCAAGTAGCCCTGACAGTGATATAATGTTTCCGACATTATTAGGTGGCTGAATAAGAGTTGCCAAGAACACATCATGAGCATTATTGGATTTGAGTCTGTAGGCTTTCGATGGGTCCTTGGTTGGGAACAGAATGTTACACACAAAAGGGTTTACACTGATCCATATCAGTGCTTTTATTATACTTGTTTTGGATTTAGCACTGATAGTGAGGACATGGGAAAAATACTTTAGCCGTATTTGTTCAAACTTTGACAGATTCCACATTGCACAACAATTCATCTGTTATACAAAAAAACAACCCTAAGTGTATCCCCTCCCAGCATTTGCTGAAAAATACTATTGTGTGAAAAATTTCTCAATCCTGTATCTTTCTGCAAATATGTTCAGGATATTGTAGTTCAGGGGCTGCAAAGTGTTAATCTAACAGCATTTTAAGATGAAAGCAACAGTTTGCCCTTCTTTTGGCTTCAGGCATCTGTCATGAGCACAGGAGAAATGGCAGTTTTGTTTTGGAAATTGGCATCAGTTATGGTTGTAGTCGCTTAGAAATAAAGCTGTTTTTTTGCCCAGCTGCAAATGTCTACTTCCAGTCTTCCTGCCAACAACCCATCAGCTGCCCCTTCTCAAAGAGGCCATTATACCACATTGGCACAGAGACAAAGCAGGGTTAAAGAGGAAAACACAGTTGCTGGCCATTAGATGCTCATTCCTCTGCTGGGTGAATATATGGCGTCCATATTACCTTCTGCAGCCTGCCAGAATTTTGCTACCCAGACAGCACAGGAGAGGTTCATTGGCAACATCCCCAAGCAAAACAACGAAGCAGAACTGAACACAGACCAAAGAACAGCACTTGCAACCCTTAAATAAATATCAAAGGACTTGTGTGCAGACCAAAATAATTGTTTTTCAATTATAGCTTTTGTCAAACATGTTATTATGATGCTTTAGATTGCTCTTTACAAAAAAAAAACCTATTTACACCTTGTGTTCAATAATTTCTAGTTTCAGTTAGAGGGAGAGGGGACAACCACACAGCAAAATGGATTCACATATGAAGCATGAGATTTTTAAATGTGATATAAATTATTATTTCTGTGTTCATCTGATTATTAGTAAACTTTTTGTTTCTGCCACAGCTGCTTGTAAAATGTTCACATTATTTACAGTGTCCATTCTCTGCTTTAAACATTCCCTCTGTTACCAGAAAATTGATTTATTTGATTTATTTGATTTGTCAATCATTTATAAGATAATAGGTATAAAAATAAACATGAATACAGGAAATAGGTAGGAATAAATGGGGACAATAGGACAGGGACGGTAGGCACAATTGTACATTTACGCATGCATGTTACAGACCTCTTAGGAATCGGGTGAGGTCAATAGTCGATAGTTTAAGGTTAAAGGAGTGGGGGTTTGAGGATGTAACAACAGAGTCAGGTAGTGCATTAAAGGCATTGACTGCTCTGTTGCTGAAGTCGTACTTTCTGCAATCAAGTTTGGAATGGTTTACATTGAGTTTGTGTCTGTTGTGTGCTCTTGTATTGTTGCTGTTGAAGCTGAAGTAGTCATTGACTGGTAGGACATTACAGCAGATAATAATGCACAATATGCAAAACAGCAATATTCATAGGTGATAAAGGCTCACAAAATTAATAAGATCTGCAGTCATCTGATCTTGAATACAGTAGGCATTGTCTTGGATGTATATAGCTATGTTGGCTGTATAGACGGCATTGTTCATCAAGAAGGTCATCAGATTGGGAAAGATTGGTCAACTATACTGAAGCTTAAAGTAATCTTTACTAGATTACTTAGGTTTTACTCACATTACTCCTGATAATATTTATACCACACTTTAAAATGTTCAGAATATTTAGTTGTATAGGCCCCTTGTTCAAGAATCAAATGTTTCATTCACATCTACTGAACTGTCCAGGCTTGTGCATGAGAAACAAGGCATATAGTGCAAGCTTTCTGCTTCAAAAAATGTCCCCTGATAAACTGCATGTTTTTTGGTACATTTAGATTCTGGTTAAAATGGTCTTAAGTAAGTAAGACATTGTTTAGACAATACTGCTCATGCTGACTCTGCTGAAAGGAGACCAAACAATCTATACCTCAATTTTGAACTGATAGCATCCCAGCTTATTTCTTAGTGTTATTGTAATGAATGTGGATCTTAATAATTTTGTTTCATTGGGTTTTATGGCAATTAGAAGTCAATTGGATATTTAGAAAGGTGGGATAAAAATATTTAAATAGTTCATCGTACAGCTTAATAGATAATTTTGAATATATTTCATAAAACCACTCTTTTGTCTTTTTCTCCCTCTGTATCAGTGTGATGGAACTGTTTTGGATCTGACTAGCACTTCATTGGAAGGAATTGCAGTTCTCAACATTCCCAGCATGTATGGTGGCTCCAATCTCTGGGGGGAAACCAAGAAACAGCGCAGCTATAACCGCATGAGCAAAAAAATACCTGAAAAGTTGCAATCCTCAGTGGTTACCGATGCCAAGGAGCTCAAGTTTTGTGTCCAAGGTGAGGTGGCTTAGAATTTTGAATGTGGTAAAAGTAGCATGTAGGAAGCTGCAGATATTTAGGAGTCATTCCTGTACTGTATATCTACAGTGGCCACACAAAAAGTGTATTTCCTGTGTTCAATGCCTGACATGTTGGAAGAACCAAAAAATAAGGTTTCTTAGGGCATGCAGTTTAATGAAAAATAACATCCTATTTCATCTGTGAAAATGAAGACCAAAACCAGGATTCGTGTGCCCATAGTCATTGAAGAATTGAAAGAAGCCATTCGAACTGCATGTGGAGTACCAAAACATGCTCAAATTAAAGCATATCTCAGATATGGTGAAGAGGAATCCAACTTTCTGGATAACTGGCTGAACTGTTAAGATTTTTTTTTCTAAACATCCCGTCTGGAATCTGTTTTCATCATTGTGGGCAATGTTTTCTGGAGTGGTTGAAAACAGAACCTGCTCTTCTTCTATGTAGCATCTCCCAGTTTTTTGAAGGTTAAACATTTCCAATTCCTTCAATCTTTCTTAAATCCCTGCCCCTCCTTGGAGATCTTTTCAGGCTTTGTTATAGTTTAATTAAATCATTCCTAAAGTACAATATCTAGAACTGGCCACAATATTTGAGATGGGATATGACCAAAAGAAATGAAGTGATTTCCTATGATTTGGAAACAATACTTCTGCTGAAGCAGCATAAAATTGCATTTGGCTTTTTTGAAAGCAACATCACACTGCTGACTCATATTCAATTTGTGATCGGCTACAGTTCCAAAATCTTTTTCACAAATGCTTTTGCCAAGTCAGGTACACATGTGCAACTGATTGCTTGCTAACTGAAAAATCCTGCATGTGTTCCTGTTAAATTCCATTCTGTTATTTTAGGCACAGTTCTCTAACATAAAAATAATTGTTAAAGTTATTTATACAATCTTTAAGGTATGAGCTATCCCACTTGACATTGTAATATTTGCAGATTTGATAAATATTCTATTCAAGCTCATGGGGTGACTTTGGACCACAGCTCAAACTACCACTAGGTGCTTTGTTTGAAATTATAAGAGCAGAAAATGCTGTAAATACTGTCTTGAATGCCTAAATTAAAGGTAGGAAATTAAATAGCAATAGTACTTAGACTTATATACCACTTCACAGTGCTTTACAGCCCTCTCTAAATGGTTTAGAGAGTCAACGTATTGTCCCCAACAATCTGAATCCTCATTTTACCCACCTCGGAAGGATGGAAGGATGAGTCAACTTGGTGAAAATCGAACTGCTGAACTGCAGGCAGTCAGCAGAAGTAGCCCGCAGTACTGTATTCTAACCACTGCACCATCACAGTGAATGAATGAATGAATGAATGAATGAATGAATGAATGAATGAATGGACTCTTGCCCTGAATATCTGAACTCATTCAGAGTAACAGGTATTCCCTGAATATCTTTTTCATCATTTTCAAATTTCAAATCTGTTCCTTAAACCTGCTTTTCACAATTATCTGCTGGAAAACATATCTTTACTTCAAGAAAACCAATAAGAATAGAAGCTAAAAAACTTGCCTTTTCTTTGTCACCTGCTAGAACTTTGCCACCATTATTAAGAAGCTGGGTCTTTGCATAATATATCCACCCCCATCCTGAGTCCTCCAAAAGTAATTCACAAATGTAATTCATGTCATGTTGGTACTACAGCCTAGCCTGAATCCTGACTGAAAAGGGTGATGTTGAAAATCCTGATGTTGTCCTTGAAAATACTGGGTACATGCTCAAGTTCATACCTTAGAAAGCTCTTGGCTTTGGCCTGCTTTGGCTTGATTGTGAGCTGCTCACCATCTATTCTACATGGCCCCTGTCCAAATTTTTGCTACTATAGTTGACCTTTCACCATCTTGTACCAATAATATAGTGAAACTGATTTATGAATGCTCCACCTGGAGATGCCCGTGTGTGTAGGTATGTTTTGAAGTTTAAAAAACAGTGTTAGCATTGAAGAAATTATTGAATCAGAAGAAACGGATAAACCATTCTCCTGCTTCATTTCTGTTTCTTAGGCTACTCAGTCCAACTTTGTTTTCCTCCTTACTATTTCAAACTTTGGCATTCCAATTTCCAACCACAAACAGTACATCTTTCAAAAAGACAATCTGACCATAATGAGTGACTGGGAATTTGGAGAGATGTGTCCCAAATCATCTGAAGGGTGTAGCAAGCTGCGGGAAAACTGGTAAAGGAGTTGGGTCAGGCAGGCAAAGGCTGAAGGGATGGCTTGAGACCAGGCCGGACACACCCTGACAATTAGCCAGTATGCCTATTGACATTCTCACACGCAATTTCCAAAGGGACTTAATTCACAATTGTAAATTATCTCTAAATGCAGCCAACATTGCCAGCTTCCAGCTGCGCATGTAAGAAAGGATTCCCAGGACAACCTGCTTTCTCCCTAGGTAACAAGTTTGTGCTGTAAGAAGTCTGAGACTATGCATACCAGTTTCTTTTTAATTTTTTAATTTTAATTCATTTCTGCTGAAGAAGCTGCTATGTGCAACCTTCTTTCAATTCAGTTTACTTGTCCTGCCCAACATGTTCCTTCAGGATATTTGTTCATTGCTTATAGTACTATCAAGTATTCAAGCCTTTCCAATTGTGCCTGGGTTGAAGGGGACAGAACCCTTTGACTTGGGTTCATCTCTGACAATCATTAATTTCAGATAGAGCGGGAACTTATGATATATTCCAAAGGAGTATTTTACAGGCAGCAGTTATTTCCAAGTTTATCATTAATGTAAAATTCATTAGATGTTGTCTATTTAATTCTTCTCAAAGCCATTCCCTCCCCCAACTCCTTGCCAGCTTCCAATGAGTCTAAAGCTTTACAGAAAATGGATCTTGCAAACTAATTAAATATTAAAGGCCTTAAGCTAATCACACTATTGGCACAGCATTGGCGAGCTACTGGAAACAAAAGGTACATTCTCTGTCATGGAGAATCATGGATCACCTTGTGAGATTTTTCTGAAATGCTCTTCCAATGAGAGCACTTGCCTGAAAATAAGAAAATTCTAAGAATATCCTCGTGGGAGACCATGGAGAGGATTGGAAAGAGCTTGGCAGAACAGGTGTTACTTAGGCAGAACAGAATGAGTAATTAAGAGGATGCTTTAATGCTGTTACAGGCTACAGCACAAACAGGAAAAAGAAAGCTGCTGGGGTGGTGAAACAGCACTCTCTCCAGAATATTCCCTTCTGACTAATGCATGAGACTCTCGGAGTGGAGAGGCCTGAGGTGGGATGAATACAGCAGCAAATCTGTAGGCATTTAAAGCGCAATCCTCAAAAAGAAAAAGCCACTGGGCATGAACTTCATTGTGAACAATACATGGCAATTTTGAAATACCTTTTCACTAATGGCTGCCTCAGTGGCAATGGGTAACTTTCTAAGAACTGCAACTTCAAAACAACAAGCAGGAAGTTGCCAATATCTGATCTGTGGGCCATATCTATCCTACCCCCACCACTATGCAAGGTTCCCAGCCTATAATTGTTCCTCTTCACTATTTTTCTTGTGAAATGAGACAAATGGGTTCATAGCAGCAATGTCAGCTCACATGTTACCTTTGTAACACATACCCAGATGATAATAGCTAACCAGCTTGAAAACTAATAATCAGGTATGTCAGGACAAGGTTTATAGGGAGGAGCAGTTTCTTAATACTATCAATTATTACTTTTGGCATCGGCTACTTCTGTCGGACAACACAAATAGGGATTATTTTAAAATGAATCTTGAATCAAGTGGAGGATTTAACAGTACAATTTTACATAAGCCATCACTAACCTAATCTTCAGAACAACACATCTTCTTGCTCCCCAAATAAGCATATCACAGCAGGGCTCTATAGGATTTTACATACAAGTAGATCTGAACTATCTTTTGGGAAAGGAAAACAATTGTATAGAAAACACACTCCAGATTCAGATTCACCCATGGCATAAAGACAAATCATTTTTAGAGGATGTGTCTCTATGAAGCAGCTTTTGATTATCTCCAGCTTACCTGTAGAGGCACCCTAAACTTTTCCTTAGCTGTTCCAGTTTTAAAGTAGTAGTGCTGTCTATCTTTTCCAACACATCCTGCTTTAAGAATGCAATGGCTCATTCACAATCAGAAACTGGCATCTTCAGAGTTCCTATATATATATCAGCCTTTTTATAGATCACTAGATGTGTCCTACTATTGAATATTTGTTCAAAAGTTTTACAAAGATCAGTAAGCCTCCCTATGAATAAAAATGGGATTGGCTAATTATTTAAACAGGGGAAGGTATATATTGCTGATTCTACTCGAGTTTGCTAAAGCTTTCTGCTGCTTCTGCTGACAAGGGTTTGGCATGGCTGTACTTTCTGCTGCTTCTATTATTTTGGGAGTGAGGCAACATTATTTTCTTGCTCTGATGCCATTTTGCATATTCCATTGGATGCATCTGGATGCTGCTATCTCCATTCACTTTCCTTCATAGGTCTTACCAATTTGGAAGCTGGCGGAAAATTGATAAGAGTTGTGCTAGTTTCTTCTTCTATCCCAAGTGACAGGAAGGTGGTAAATCTCTCTATAAGCTTACTAGATTTCTAGAAGACTGGCAAGCTTTTGTCCAAAAATAACCCAGCTGATAAGTTAAGGATGGGCCAGGATGAGGCAGAAGGGCCTTAGTGCGTTGTGTAAGCTCCTTCCTCCAAACCAGCAACACATTGACCTGTGTTCTGAAATAGCTCAAGTGATCTATCACTCAGACAACATGAATACAGCTAAAGCCTCTGCCCAACCTGCTCCATCACACTTTCAGGAGAATGAGTGGGGGTTGTTTCTCTGATTATCTACTGATGCTGGGAAGTGGTGGAAATAACACCAAAGAAATCTACTAAATCTTGCCTTTAGCTTGTCTCATGATAAGGATGTAAGAAGCACTGGCAAGCATTCCTGCAAACGCAAATTAGAGTTGAGCCATCATGGCAATGCATATTATGCTGTCTTGTTTCTCTGATAACTCAGGGACTGGAAGAATACACATAAATGCAGAAGGGAGCAATATTTAAAGATTCAGCGATAAAATCTATCTTCCCAGAGTAGAAGAAAGAGTCGAGGCCATTAGTATTTAGTTTTGAAGTTATTCAGGCAAGACCTCATTTGGGGAAATTAAATATGCTGGTTTGGGGTGCTGCAGAAGAAATGACTGCAACTTTAGCACTGCAAATTCATCCTGATGTAGGCCAAATGTCTATGTTTCAAAAGATAAATTTGCTTTGTTCTCACATTTGTTTCTTCTTGTTTGTCATTCGTTTTAAATGCTACACTTTTCCCCTTTCACAGCAAAGGCAACCAAACAGAAACCATGCCTGTGCACAGGAGGGTTTGCCAAATGAAGGACCCAAAGAGATGGAGCAAGCCTATTTATTTATCCTTGGCTGCATCATCGTTCCGGGTGCTGAAAAATGTTTAATCCTTGACCCAAATAGTGCCTTTTTAAGGGAAGACATTTGTGTTCAAAACCACAAATTGGTAACATCTGTGCAATACTCTTGGATGACACAAGCACCAAGTTCACAGATCTTTCTGAAAATGAGTAGAATCTGCACAAAAAGTGCTACCAAATGCAGAAGCATTGCCCCTGTTGCTTTGCTTCTGAAGCATTTGTCATGTTATTGTGCTTCCCTCATAATGGGATTCTTTTCCCAATAAAGACATTTTAATGAAATTAAATGAAATCAAATGAAATGTTTGCAACATGCTCACTTGTGCATCAAAAGCACCCTTAGGTAATGTGCAGGGGATCACTGGATCACAAGTCGTGGGGCTGCCTTACTGCCTTGTAGGGAAAAAAATTGAACTGAGAGCTGTAGCCAACTCATTTCAAAGCAAAATGTGGAGCAGAGTCATAGTAATTTAACCCTAGCAAAAAAAAATTAATACTCCTTTGTTAGCCAAGACTTCCATTATTAGGTGAACAAATAAAACTACCTTTTATTGATTGAGATTATTGACAAATTTAGCACGCTGCTTATTATTTTTTTCCAGGGAACTCAGAACAGCATTTAAATAGGTACAAGAAGTATCCCATCCAGTCATTACCTGTATAGCTTCTACATGCTGGTTGTAACTTTCCAAATGTAGGTGTATTATAGACCTGCTATCCAAATATTTTGAATGAACTTGGGAGCTTCTGCCAATAAAAGATGAGGTTGACAAAGAACTGCTCCAAACATTGCCTTCAAACTCTTTTTTCCAGTCCTTTCAGGACAGTGGATTCATTTGGAAATAAAGGAGTGTTTGACTGAAATATGCACAGAAAGACAGTCAAGCAAATGACATTTTGCCCATTCATGAAATAGATACCGACCTGGTGGGGTTAAATGCCCGTTTTCCCAAAATGCAGGCTTATGCAGTAAAGTTCAGAGACTTGGCCAAGAAACAGAAGTAGATGTGAGCCCTCAAGCTAAATCACAATATTTTATCCACCAATCACAAGAAAGTTCCTATTTCAGAAGTTAAACTGCAGAGGTGGTATTCAGCAGGTTCTGACCAGTTCTGGAGAACAGATAGTGGAAATTTTGAGTAGTTCAGAGAACCGGCAAATACCACCTCTGACTGGCCCTGCCCCCATCTATTCTCTGGCTCCCGAGTCCCAGATGATCAGCTGGGTCTTCTTTTGTTGTCTTGCACAGGAGAACGGAGCTGCAATGCAGGTTAGTGGAGTGGGGAGGGAATGGAGATTTTACAGTATCCTTCCTCTGCCACGCTCACCAAGCCACACCCACCAGGCCATGCCCACAGAACCAGTAGTAAAAAAATTTGAATCCCACCACTGGTATACTGGTATAGAAACACAACAGCCCAGATATACACAACAGATGGACAAAACTACCACCTACCGTCCCTGTCCTATTGTCCCCGATTATTCATACCCATTTCCTGTATTTATACTTATGTTTGTTGTCTTGTAAGCTATTGACAAAATAAATAAAATTAACTTAGATACAAAATATTATCTCCTTTAGTGTTTCTGGGCACTTACTGCTACCACCTCCAATTATTAGATAGATGATAGAAGATGTTAGATGATAGATAGATAGATGATAGATAGATAGATAGATAGATAGATAGATAGATAGATAGATAGATAGATAGTGATAGATAATATAAACTTTTCAATTAAAATGATTTTAATTTAAAACATGATCAAAGGGTCTTAGGGCATTATAAATGAGTACCCTGATGTCCATAGCTACTACATGAAGAACAGCAATATAAGCAATCTTCATCCTTGCATGAAATACAATATAAGGGACAAAGGTTTTTCTTTGTTTAATAATTATCTATCTTTCATTAGCTCTTAGTGATCAGCTCTTGGAAGTTGTTGGTCTTGAAGGGGCAATGGAAATGGGACAGATCTATACTGGACTGAAAAGTGCTGGAAAGAGGTTGGCCCAGTGTTCCTCTGTTGCCATCAGGTACCTCCTTTGAGACTTTGATTCTAGTATGAATTTTTCACCCAATTTGGAAGATATTATAGTAACAGACAAAAAAGAATCAGGCACCTCCTGATATCCCTTTCTTCTGTGTGCTAATATTCTAATAACCTGCTCTAAAGACCAAATCTGTATTTTCTGTGGTTTGCTATGACCTGAAAAACTTACCAAGTCTATAAAAGAAAGCTGGTTGGAAGCATGAGGAAGAGGATTCCATCCTGTAGTGGATAAACAATGGCTAGAATGATGATCACAATGAAGCACTTTACTTAGAAGGCATTATGTTTTCCCAGAATTCCAGCATGTTCTAGAAAGAGACAAAAGGTGATGAGGGAATGAGATGTGGAGCCATGAAAAAACAGGAGGATTTTTGACCCATTACAAAAGAGAATAAGGTGCCTGCTCTTACATTAAGAAATAGGAAAAGGGTGTAGTTTCTATAGACCCAAACCAGGGGTGGGATTCTACCAGTTCACACCTATTCGCTAGAACCAGTTGTTAACATTCTAAGCAGTTTGGAGAACCGGTTGTTAGAAGAAATTACTGGCCTAATCCTGTAAGGAAGGCAGGAAGGAAACATTCTGGTGTTGCTTACAGAAACTGCCTCTCTGTTAACCCTTATTACATTCTTGGCAGGACTAGCCTTACTGTCTCTGGAACTTCTCTGGAGTTTTTTCCCCTCCTCTGCTAGTACTTTGCTTGTGTGGAATGACCATTCAAAGTTACAATGGTATTGAAAAAAGTGACTTATGACCATTTTTCACACTTACAACTGTTGCAGCATCCCCACAGTCATGAGGGGCCAGGCAAGGAGATGGTGCCTCGATGTGAGTGATTTTGAGTTGGCCACGCCCAGCCAATAAAATGACCACCAAGCCACGCCCATCAACTAAGCCATACCCACAGAACTGGTTGTTAAAAAAATTGAATCCCACCCCGACCCAAACTCAATATACCTCAAGACTATATTGGGCAAAACACAGTTGCCTCTATTTGCAATTGCACATATAGTAGATGCGTTAAGCAAAGAATGATAAAGGTGTGGGGTTAATACAAGTAAATTGAGTGTGCCTTCTTGTGCTCCTATGCTATTGCTTCTTTGGTTCCTAGAAATCCTAACCACGCTAACGAGAACCATGTTCATACAACACACTGATCTACAAATTAGCCAGTCAATTTTATCATCGTATTGGAACCATCCTATTAAATTATGGTTCATTTATCATTCATACACTCAACATTAGGTGATGATTCAGTGACTACAGCTAGATAGCCTCATCTTGTATATTTCACTCTTTCACTCTTTTCCATTATTGGCAGCTTAGAGCAAAACAGAATTCAGTTCTGGCTTGTTTTCCTTCTTACAAGACTGTTTGTGTATTGCAGAACAACCAAACTGTTGCCCATGCAAGTGGATGGAGAGCCTTGGATGCAACCACCTTGTACAGTGAGTAGTTGAAACACAGAAAATGGTAGTAAAGGACTTCATTTACTAGATCAAGAAGTTCAGAGAAGATTTTCTTTGGAAAATATATTGCAGAGGAGACCCAAATTTTAGTAACAAAACTTAGGAAAGAACTATTTTAAAAATAATGCTTCTATTCCAAATGGAAAAAAATAAAACAAAACCAGCCACAATATCCCAGGAAAGAACTCACTGTTTGGGGAAGATTATTCAGATCTCTTTGATGTCATATTATCAAGCTTTTTCATAACAGTGACAGTCACATTTGTACCCTAAGGGAAAATAACGAAAAATTAAAGGGAGAGAAATCTATGGCAGTTGTTCCTCTTGGTAGCTAAAGATAGCTAAAAATACAATTAGTGTACCTTCAGCCTATCCAGTGTATTCAGATCAAAGGAAGTTGTATTAGACACAACAATAATGTGTGTGTGTGTGTGTGTGTGTGTGTGTGTGTGCATGCCCTCAAATCAGTGTGGACTCCTGGCAACTGCCTGAACAAGTCCTTTCAGTTTTCTTGGCAGGTTTCCAGATATCGTTTGTCACTGCCTGGTTCCTAAAACTGAGGGTCACCCAACTAGCTTTGGACCTAAGAAGGAACTATAACTCACAGTCTTCCAGTTTCTAGCCTGGTGCATTAACCATTACAGCAAACTGACTCTGAGAAAAACAATATGTGACATTTAACGGCCCTTTCTGATATGCAAATGAGTATTTCAGAACAATATCTTGAAGAGAAGTATTCCAACTGAAAAGAACAGCTCTTTGAATTCCTGTGTATATAATTAGTCCTCACTTAATGATGGTGATTGGATCAGAATTGCCATCGCTAAGGAATGCAATCAAAGTTGGACATCATCTGATCATACAGCTTAGTGATAGCAGTTCCAGCCATCTCTGGATGCAATCATTAAGTAAGAATCTCACATGACTTCTGACTTCCTGCTGGCTTCTCCACAGTTCAATTCTGAGCCATATATATGTTTTTCTATAGGCAGCAAAAATCCCATTGCCCTTTGATTTCACTCGTGGGAAGATAGCAGGATAGGTTGCAAATCATGTTCATGTGACTGAGAGATGCTGCAAATGTCATTGTGAGTTTGTTGCAAAGCATTCAAATCACAATCAAATGAACTGCAGGCATATTGCAATGACCACAACTAAGATGACTCATCCTATGTCCCCTTCATTGAGATCATTAAATAGTCATTGAATGTGCAGTTGTTAAACAAGGACTGCCTCTATACATTAGTTAGTAGTAATAAAAAAAAATAAAGTTCTTGAAATATTGATTTTCATTCACCATGCAGGTGGGCTTTTTTTTTTTGTTTCTGTGTCAGAATTAATAGCCAGCCAGTTCCAGGAGATAATGATTCAATTACATTTGAGTCATGTATATATTTAGGCAAACATTTTCCTAAAGCCAATTGTGCCAATAATCTGAAGATATCTAGGTTTTGGATTTCTGTTTCACATGCTACTTCCCAACATTCTCATTGCTTTGAGGATCTCACCTTATGACGGTTGACTGGCCAGGCAAGAAATGCTAGATATGCCTTTCTGAAGAGCCTGTTATGTATCTTGGGCTGTGGTGGAGGTGACCTATTCTGCTGCCTCCACAACTACTTATAAGGCTTAATGGCTGAATAGTCTCCGTGCTGTCTCCAATTCAGCCTGATAAGAAACTTTTTTTTATTTGCCATAGAGAACTAAACAGACTTGTTCTGTCTTTCCCTGAAGCAACAGGAGTGGGGGTGTATCTATGAGGCAGATCCTGCTTGGTACTGGTTTTCTTTGGTCTTGGAAAAAAGGCCTTTAGATCAAGAAGAGCAGGACACCTGGCAAGGTTTATGCCATGTTTAGGTGACTGTAGGAAAAGTTGAATATTCCCCCTAGCTGCAAAACAATTGCTTCAAGTAATCTAGGGAAATGTTACATTGCCATCTGACTAGAGATTATAAACGTCCTATTGCAATATTCTGGGGTCATCAGATTGGGGAACTCTGCAGCAAAATGATGTCATATAAAAAGCAAGGCTACATGCTCTAAATCATAGTAGATTCAGCAGATACCACTTCCTCCCTCTGCAAATAAATGACACGTGTGAAATAATTATTTTCATTTAGCTCTTTCACACAGCTTGTCCTCTATTGGAGCCAGTCCTTGTAGCAGCAATAAACTAGCATAAATAGACATTGACAATGGGGAAACGTTAATGCTTATCTGTTAATAAAAAATCCCTGCTTTTGAAATAGTTTCTGTCTAGAAAGAGCAGTCTCCTAATCATTATATGAGAACTGGTTGAAAATATAAGGAGGAATTTGATGCCATTTTTAAACATTTGAAGAACTGAGAAACAAGTGAAGCTTTCCAGATTGCAAGAGAAAGCAATGAGTCAAAATTAAAGGGATGCAGATTTCAGCTAAATACGAGGAGAGACATCTAAAAATAAATGTGTGAAATGGAATAGACTGCCTTAGAATATAGTAGGCTTTCCTTTGCTTGAGATATTTGAGATAAGATGGACAAGCATCTATCAGAATTATTGTTGTTGTTTTCTGCATTATAATTTTGTATGAATCACAGGATTTTACTATTCCAAACTATCTCCAAAGCTCTTTTCATTTCCATGATTTTGTGACTTTGGCTTCTATCCTTTTGCTTCCAGATTAAAATAACCCACAAAAGCCAAGTGCCAATGTTGTTAGGACCTCCCCAAAAGAGCAGCTTTTTCTTCCTGAGGAGAAGAAACTGAACTCGAGACTAATTTTCAATCAAGTAAAGAACAACCTTCAGAGGCAGCAGTTCTCCATTCTAGAGAAGGTCTACAGGAAAGAAAAATCTTAATCCCTCCAGATTCCTGGCTTCTGAATCTGCTTTGGAAACATCAGTCTGGAGGCAGCATTATGAACTCTTAGTATTAAATAACATGGTTGACATTCGGCAGTCAAACTGAAATAGCAGTGTGGGTTCATATATCCATGCACACATAGCCACTTTCTCTAAATATTATTGGCCAGGATGGCATTGACACTGAAGGATTTTTGCCCTCCATAATACCACAGCCCAGGAAGCGGAAGCTCTAACTGCTCTGGTTGGCCTGTGGTAAAATCTGAGACTCTCCTAAAGAGAATTGTTCTGGGCAGTCTTGAATTACACAGTCTTGTCAGAAAGCAAACAAGCAGACATGGAAACAGCATGTCTGATATTGCCTTCCAGATGGAATGAAGGGGAATTTTCTTCTTATTTAACTCTTTAGAAACCCCCCTCCAAAAAAAATAACTGTTGAAGCATCAAATTTGGCAAGGAACCAAACTTTGCTTATTTATTTTTTAAGAAATTCTGTCAGCAGATAAGTGTTATTTTGTTTTACTACTGTTTGGGTCACCAAACTTGATAAGACATGCTATTTATTTTTGAAAGTATAGAAAACACAGGGGGAGATAAAAAGGGAAAGGAAGATAAATGTTATTTTTCTCCAACTCTAAAACAAGAAGGCTCTTGCTAGTTCCAGGAATAATTTTTAGTTTTAAAATAAAGTGGGCATTGGTTAGCTGTCCCCTTTCAGAGGCACAGGAATATACAAATATTTTGCCACAAAGAAGCCAGATTCATTAGAGGAAAGATAAAGATTAAAAGTGAGAACTTCCTTTGGAAGGAAAAGGAAAACTCAGGTCATATTAAATGTATGATTATATTGATAACCTCCACGAATGTAGGGATACCTTCAGGTTTGTTATTAATTCCATTGTCCAGTTAATGTTTTTACATTTTCTTTTCACACATAGGATTACTACAACTTCAGTCCAGAAATATTTTATACACATATTTTAAAACTTTTCCATGGAAGTTTCAGTTAAGATAGAGTTCCTTTTAAATTTTATCTCATTATGGGGCTGATTTAAGTAACTGAAAATACTAGATGTCTACAAAAGTCTGAATATATGATCAGGATTTAATGTAGCACTATATGATCAGGATTTAATGCATTAAATTCTAGGGTAGGCATTTATATGCCACTAATATTATAATACAGGGTTGTCAAACTCCCAGCCTGCAGGCCGGCCACATCATGTGTTGGCCACAGCCACGCCCAGTTTAGTGAAGAGAAAAAAGTCCCGAAACATCATGTGACGCTGCCGTGACGGCATAAGTTTGACATCCCTGTTATAATAAAATGTAAGTAAACTCAGAAGTCAAACTAATTAGTTAAATTTCATCCCATACGTTGGATTTTGCAACAGAAAACTACCCAATCAAAACTACCCAATAACCAGCAATCCTATGTAAATTTTTGGGATTAAGTCCCACTGACGTCAATAGGATTAAATTTTTTATTAGTACATATTAGAGTGCAGTGTGTTTAGTTCATAGATGCAAAAGACTAAAATGATGTATTTTAGTTAGGAAATAAATACCTCATATTCTCTAGTTCTTACTTTAACATTGTTCAATCAGATAATATTATAACATGATAGCCAATGTCATATCCCTCTTTATTCTTTTTAGATTCCACTGTGCATGATTTTTTCTATATAACAAAAAAGTGCAAGATTATGGAAAGATATTTTGATCACAATTGCCAATATGTGTGATCACCAGATATTTTTCAAGAGAAGCTAAGAGATGAAAGTAGAGAAAGGTTTGATTCATTCGCAACAGTACCATTCTTCAAAAAAAGTGGTAGCTTTTCAGGATTTTGAATTGGTAATTCTGGCTTAAGAACACTGATTCCTTTAAATACTTTTAAATTCAGATGAAGAAAATAATACTCACCAATTCTCATTGTTGCATGAAATGTTCTTTTACATTAATCCAGGACAAATGAATGTCATCTCTGAGTTAGAAGTCTGAAAAGAATAAATGGCACAAATCAATTTATTTACTTAACTGCTCAAATAAGGAGGACATACACTATGTTTTCTGTTAATGTAAGTTTTTCTAAATGAAGTCATTTTATTTTATTTAGAACTTGTCTGAACTAGGAAATCTGGTGGAGACTTTGGCATCTATGACAGAGTAACTGTATGTTTCATAGACATCCTGTATTGCAGTTACGATACCTATGGTTTTGGAAAGGTTGCAACTGGGATACATTTGGATGTCTGACAGCATCATGAAGATTATGAAAGAGGTACAATGTAGAAGAAATAATGGATAAGATTTGTTCTTACATTTGGAAATTTAGTCTCAGGAATTTTTGAGTCCCACTTATGGAGTTTTATATATGGTATCCATCTTAGAGAGGCACAATTCTATAGAGTATGTACTATTTATTATTACTAGATCAGAAAATACCTCATTGATTAGTATTCATAATTCTACCTTCTTCTGTTCTTTTTTTCCATACCTCCACTTCCTTTCTGCTCTGCTTACCTGTTTATAAGCAACTTTGCTTCCAAATATCTTCATCTCTTTTTATGTTTTGCTTGTTTTCTATTTTAGTTCTTAACCAATATGATCAAAATATCCATGATGCAAATACAACTCGTACTCTTTTCTTAAATATACTTTTCTTCTGCCGTTGATTTGCTCTTTGGTTTTGGTTCATTTTAACGAATGTACAGTAGAAAACAAATAAGAATTTCTTCAGAAACTATCTCTCGCAGAAGTTGCAGACTAAAGCTTTGCCAAGTTAAAAAAAAATAGCACAGCAGGAATTTTGTGTCCCCTTGAGATTTGGTTGTAGCCAGATGTTAAGTATAATGAAAAAGCAAAAAAGATGTGGATTTTAGATATTAGACATTTCAAAACATTACAATTCTTGTGATTTTACTATAGATGAAAACATATTAGTGAACAAAGTGAGAGCTAGTGAAGCAGATTTCCACAAATATAAACTGTTTTACTAGTTATTCCCATCTGAGGGAATTTGGAAAACCTTTGTTTTATGAAAAGGGTTAGAATTATGATAGACCATATACTGCTATAATCAGCATTTTTATTATGGGAAAATAAGCTGACTTAAGCAAATAAACCTGAGTTGTAAATATACCTTAAATGGTGAGATTTAAGAATGAAAAGCAAGCATATTAAGAATTCATTTCCCCCTAATCAAGGCATGCCCATTCCATGGTAAATATTCTTGAATGTCATGGCCTTGTGATGTTTTTTGTCACATCCCTAGCCTATACTTAAGACAATTATTTCTAGTTGTTCCAGCATGGAAGTGTTTTCCTTCTCCAGATGCATGTGGACATCTCACACACTTACCTGTGTTGTGGTTGATCATGCAGTCAGGGATAAGATCTGCTACTTTAGATTGCTCTACAGATGTTGCCTCCGCTCCAGTTCTGGGCACTGCCCTCCATGGGCACTTACCCTTGAGCTGCAGAAAAGACCAGACATAAGACTTCTACAGGAACATTGGTTCGTGCAATGTCTGACTGATGTTTTCCAAAGTGTGTATAATGAATTCTGCACATGAATTAAACACTCTTCTAAAAGAGTACTAGCCCTGCTCTTTAATGTGCTGCAGAGAAGTTTGATTCAGACCAGAAAAGAGATGCAGTTCTGCCAACTGTATTGCTTATTCTATCACCAGTTACTGCACTGCAGATTTTCCAGTGACTCTGCCAACAAGGGATTTTGGAAGGCTGTTCTTGTTGTTTTTTCATGAGGGGGGCACCATCTGAATACTCCCCAGATTATTTCTGGGTGTTGCTGTTTGGCTATTTGCTACCAGCAATTCCCTTGCATCATTACCAGAAGAGGGAGTTTACTCATTACTCCATATCCTTCTTCTGTGCTTCTCAATTGAAGTGCCATATCACTGGGAGAGTGAAAAGAAAAAAAGATCCCTAGTGCTTTTCACAACCTTCCCTTAAGGTCTACGGTCTGTCAGTAAAGGTTTTTCTGAACATCGATCAGCCTTCCTTAGAAAAAGTCCAATCAGGAGACCTCTGTCCTGCTTTATTCATGTACTTCCACTTTTTTGGGACACAGATCAAGTCCTCTTTTGAAAAATTGCTAGTGGCAGGTCCCAGCTCATCGCATCTTCATGTCAGTAGTCTATTATACTAGTTAGACAACATACCAGGTAACTAAACCCTTGGGGTCAGCCACCCAATCCCATCTCCCCACATATTAAAAAAGCAATTGTTGATGTTTTTCGTATCAGTGGACATTTGATGACAGAAGAAACAGCCAGGAGATTCCACCAATCCCTTTTGTTAACTAGTCTCACGTTAGCTCTCTAAAGTAAGCACACCAGCCATATTAATGAGGAAGTTAGGGCTTGGTTGTCATAACAACATGTTTCATGCTAGAGTATTTTTCCGCCAGCGCAAAGATTGATATATTAAGTCCTAGAGCAAAACCAGGTGACTACCTTAAAGACTATGTTGCTTATGTCACTATATTTAATGGACTTACTGTGGTTTAATCAAAGTAAGGGGTACATCCAATTATATCCATCCATTTGAAGAACCAATTGTGCTGGACAAACAGATTCCTTCTCTCTTGCATCTTCTTGGATGACCTTCCAGAGAAGATTTGGGGAAGCATAGTTGTTCAGAGAAGAGGGAGGAAAGGAAAGTCCTAATTAAGAAAACTGATCATTGGGGGAAAATTGAATATATGCTTCTGCTGCCAAAATTTAAGTGAAAATGATAAATAGAAATAGATGATTTTTGTTACCAATTTCAATTAATCTTATTTTTGAATTTGTTTAATATACTGTTATATTTCTTTAATTAACTTAATCCCATGGTCAAACATTGTGTGATAAATTCTCTAGGTAGGTTCACTTATAGT